CGCGCTGAGCCGCCCGACGCGGCCCGCAAAGCGCGCGTGGAACTTGTCGTTCAACTCGGAAGACTCTCCCGGCCACCGTCGCGCCCGCCATCTTCCCGGAGACCCGGTGTCGCGCTGTTTTCGACGCGGGGTCCCCGGGAGGGTCGACCCCTTCACCGGGGCCGGTTTGTCATCCTGAATCGTCGTTTAACGGTCCTGGGGCCCAGTGAGTCTAGAAGTCGACAGCTGCGAGAAGCGTCCAACTTGACTTTTGTTCAACACTTTGGATCTCTGGGTTGATGCGCAGGGGCCGCAGCGCCCCCGCGCGGGCGTCGGCGGGGGCGCCCGCGTCTGCCGCGCGGGCCCAATCGCGCTTTTCTCCGCGTCGCGCAAGCCCACGCACGGCTTGGAGCAGCGGGTTCACCGCGCAGCCGCTTCGCAGGAGGCAGCGGCGACGTCGCCACGCGTCTGGCAATTCGCCCGCCACCGACCGACGAAACCGGCTGGGCCCGCGACCTCGTTCGGCCAGCCCTATCCGGCACCGACGGCAGCATCCGCCCTCCTCGCCGCCGCGGGGCAACCGGACAAATATTCGAACATCTTCTAACCTTCTTCGCATCTGCCCCAGTACCGCGCGGCGAGGAAGCAGCTGGCCAGCAATGGCCTCCCTTTTTGTCGGCCTCGGGGAAACTGCGCGACGCCGACGAGGCGCGCTGGCGGGCGCGCCCCGGACGCAGGCCGCCGAGTGCTGCAAGCAAAGAATGTTCCACATGTGCCCAGTGGTGAACTCTCCAATCTTGAAGGGGCCCTGGGACACACGAATACATGCACACAAATAACATGACGCCCCATATTTTCGCATAATTTCCGGGTTATTGTCTTCCCCCAACTTCCAATCTTTTCCCGCGTTATCCATGGAGTCGACGATTAATTGCGTCGGTGTGTGTGTGTGTGTGTGTTTGTGTGTGTGTGTGTGCGCTTCCCCTCCTGACAACATGCCTGTCAAAAGCAAGCGAGGGGCCCGCGCGAGCTCGGCGCGAAGATCTCGAGGGGCGCGGCGCGGCCCACTTCGCGGGGGCGCCGCCTCGCCAAAACCCGAGCGGAGTAGCCTTCGCATTCATCTTCGACTCAAATCAGAAAGGGAGCGCATTGGCGAGACGGACCACGCTCAGAACGCTTCGATTTGCGAATAATTCTGTCTCCGAAATGGCGGCGGCTCAACCGCTCGCGTGGCAGCCAAAAGGACATCTCAGCTCTAGTCTCAGCATGCCGACCTCGTCCCTGCCTCTTTCGCACTTCCTCTCGGTGCCCCCGTGGCCGCACATTGCGCTTCGAATCTGCCTGTTTGGCGAGCCGGGCTGCGTGTGTCGCAGCGGTTCCAGCGTTTCCCGCGTTGCTGCGGCGAACGAAATGCAAGCCCGCGGCGCCCGCGCCTTGGACGCCTCGCAACAGGCCCTCGCCTCTCTGGCTGCTGAGGGCGCGAGACGACACTAGCGCGCCAACGTTGCTCTTCGACCGAGTTTCGCGGGGTCGCGCGTCCTGGCTCGCTAGGACAACGTGCTTTGAACTCCAGAGCCTATGGCGCGGACAAGACGGCGCTGGCGCGGAAGACTGGGGCCCCGCAGCGAGGCCCTTTTGCCTCAGAGCCCCCCGCGCAACAGAAAACAATGGTCGCGGGAAGAAGAATGATTCTACTTCATTGCCCCCCGCCTGCGGCTTCGTCGCGCCATGCGCACGGTGCCCAGAAACGCCCCCGAGGGAGATGCAGGGCGGCGGCCCAAAAAGGCCGCGGAGAAGGGCGAAGTTGCCTAGCGGGGTCCCGCGTGCTCCAGACTGGGCCCATATCCAACCGCGGATTGGACTTGTCGCGAAAGAAACTCACAACCCCGACCTCGAAAAATACTGCACATAACTTTTGCGATATGGATTGCGAACAACGGCTGCAGAACATACATCTAAGCCACCCCCGCACATGCACCGCACATGTTGCGCCCATGCGCCAGCCCCGCATAGCTCACGCAACATAATTTGGTACGTTCGCTCCACATAGACTGCACATCCTATTTTACACAACAAATGCGGCATTGCACGTCTTGCACCACTTCTACTGCGCACGCTTCAAACTGAATCGCCTTTATTTTGCTCCACGCAGATTGCGCCGCAGAGTTTGCACCTCATAGAGTGCATCACGTTGCATGCTAGAGCGTGTCTTGCTGGGCCCCGCACCGTTTTGGGCCCGCACGGAAAAGCTAGAACGCGGAAGTCTCCCGATGACAAAATGCAGCGGCGACGTGGCGTCGGGCGCGCACCCCTGCGAACGACTTAACAGTTCCCGGTGTGTACGCGCAGAAATCAAAGAAATAACGCGTTTCGTTCGTGGACGCTCGCCTGGAATCAAAAATACTTGACACATTGGAACTGCCCCTCTCCCCCCAGCACATTCACGAGGGAATCGCCGGGGGGGGGGTTCTTGGACGCCGGCCTCAATGAGCGGAGGGGGGCCCCAGGGCCCCTTCCCCAGGGAGGGCGAACCAGGGGCCCCCATCCCCTGCCCAATGGCGGCAGCGGAACCATTTGCAAAGGTTGGAACGGTGGTGAAGCTAGGCAGGGACATCGGGGAGGCGCAAGGTTTCGACTCAAGATCGGCAGCGGCGGGAAAAGGCCGTGGCAAGGCGCTGCGCTGAATTGGGGTGTTCCGTGGGACGGCGCAGACCGTCCTCCTCATCTTCGGCCTCCTTGCTGGACTCGACTGGCGGTGACAATCATGATCCCAGAAAACTCCCCAGGAACATGGTGTGTGGGGCCGCATTGAAGTCCTCGTGGAGGTTGTCAAGGTACCTCAAAGGCTGCTGCCAAGCCCGAAGGTCAGCCAGAGTGAGCCACTCGGAGCTGTTGTCATGGTGGTTAAGTTGCGAAGTGAGACGGGGTAGGACATGGCGAGGAAGGAGGATGTCGAAAGAGGCCTCGCGGGGGGCTCTGCGGGCCGTTGTTTAGCCTCTTGGGGCCAGTTCGGGGGCCTTCTGAAGCGTCGTGGGTGCCTCTTGTGGTCATCGTGGAGCCCCGTGGCACTCTGGGAGCCTTCCTGGGGCCTCCTGGGAACCTGCTGGGGCGAAAAATCAAACAATTCGATTCATGCTCCCCTTCTGGAGACCATCGCGGGGTCGTCTCTAGGGCCTCTGAAGCCGTCTCGGGTGCCCCTGGGGCAGTCAAGGAGCCCTGTTAGGCCGTCTTCGCGCCTTCCTGGGCGCCTCTGGGCCCCTCCTGAGGCAGTGTTGGAGGCCTCTTGGGCCGTCGTGGATTGTCGGATGCTCAGCGACTGGAGGAGCCCAAAAACATTGAAAAATCCCAGGCCATCATACATTCTATTTTGGTCTCTCGGGGTACTCGTCTGGGGCCTCGGGCGCCCACTGGAGACTGCCCTCATGAAGCGCACATCCTGAAATCTCGGCTCATGCCCCCCTCTGGAGGCGTCTGGTTGGGGCCGTCTGTAGGGCCTCGTGGGCCGTATTGGGCGATCCTGGGGGCGTCATGCAGCCCTGCTAGGCTGTCCCGGGGCCTGGGGCCGCTGGGCCGGTCCTGAGGCGGTGTCGGAGGCTTTGCGGGCCGTCGTGGAGTGTCGGAATATCGGCAATGAGAGGGCACCGAAAATATACAACAATCCTAGCGAAATCAATGATTTGTGCTTCTCGGGGCGCTTGTCTGGGGCCTCGGGCGCCCTGTGTCGGCGACTACAATGGCTGCGGTTTGCGAAGGGTGCGGTTTGCCTCCCGTCTTATCTGCCCCATCCCGCCCCCGGGAAACGGATGACACTGTCACTCAATGCGACCGAATCACATGACACTGCCGCTGCTTCTAGCACAGTGGAGCACACATCGAGGATGACAGTGTCGCTCGAAACGACGACAGTTATGACATTGTCTCCCACAAAGGCCCCGGAAAGGCCGCCGCAAAGCAACTCCCAAACCGCACCCCGGCGTCTGTAACCGCACCGATTATAGTCGCCGACTGTGGAGCCTGCCCGGGGCCGTCCTGGCGCCTTCTTAAGGCCTCCGGGGAGCTGCCTGGGGCGAGAGATTCAAAATTTCTATTCATGTTCCCCCTCTGGAGGCCATCTTGGGGCCGTCTTGTGGGCATCGTGGGCCGTCTTGGGCGATGCTGGGGGCGTCATGCGGCCCTGGTCCGCCGTCCCGGGACCTTCCTGGGGGCCGCTGGCCCGTCCTGAGGCGATGTCGGAGGCCTCGTGGGCCGTCGTGGAATGTCAGGATGTGTACAAAGAGAGGGCACCGGAAACATTGAAAAGCCTTAGTGCAATGAATGATGTTTGCCTCTCGGGGTACTCGTCTGCGGCCTCGAGCGCCCAGTGAAGCTTGCCCGGGGCCGTCCCAGCGCAGCCTGGAAGCACTGGGAGGCCGTGCAGAAAACATGTTCGGTGCTCTCGGGGCGTGCTGGACCCATGGGCGACCACGAGGCCACAATGGGAACCACGAGGGCGCCCCTGCGGCACCCATGTGTGCCCGGCGTCTCGGTCCCCTGCCCGCCCGAAACCTACTCCGATATATATATATATATATATATATATATATATATATATATATACACATACATATATATATAGAGAGAGATATAGAGATATAGATATATAGATGCCATCACACATACTTATATATATATATACATACATATATGCGTATAAATATAATTATACAGTTATATAAAAATAGGTATATATGCATACATATATACACATGAATAAATACACATACATGTGCACGTGTATATGTACATGTAGGTGTACGTGAATATATATATATATATATGTATGTATACGCATATGTATACGTATGTAAATGTACACATGTGTATGTATGTACGTATGTATGTGTATAGATGCACAACAATATATACATGCAGACAGAGAGAAGGGGAAAAGGATAAAGAGAAAAAGAAGGAGAGAGAGAAAGAGAAAGAGAGAGAGAGAGAGAGAAAGAACGACAACAAGAACAAACATGAAGGATGCCCGCCGTGTCGCCGGCAGCGATCGGCTTCTCCTCCTCCGGCGGGGCCCCCTTGTCGCCCTCGGCGCCCTCCTCCGCCTTGTCCCCGCTGACCTCCATTGGCTGTGCGCCGTCGGTGCCCGTGGGTTCCGCCGCCTTCTCCTCTTCGACCTCCATGGCCTGCTCGTGGGGCGGGGGAATGGTTGGGGGTGGTGGCTCGGTGGCATGAGACGAAACGCCTGTGCTCTGACTGCTACATGGTGCAATACCTATACGACAACCCTGCGGGGGATAAGGAGGTTTTGGGGGATTCAATCAAATGCCCACCCTGACTGACCTCCAGCCTGTCGCCTTGATATCATATACCTGTTTCTCTCTGTCTCTCACTCTCTTTCTGTCTCTCTAGCTCTCTCTCTTTCCCTCTCTCTATATATATATATGTATATATATATATATATCTATATGTATCAGAGCTTCCCTCCACCACAATGACGATCGCGATGACAATGACATCCCACTATCTACCTAGCCGCTCAGGCGCCGACAAACATGCATTGATGGATTGGGTTGGGTGGATTGGTTTGGATGAAAAGGGTTGGATTGAAATAAGTGTATTTGATCAAATAAGATGGATTGGATTGCCCCGCCGCAGGCGCAGAAACAAATGAATTGATGACTTGGGTTGGATGCCTCGTGGGATAGGGCAAGATGGGAACAGTATGGGTTGGATAATATAATACAGGTTGGATTAGGCACGCTGGATTGGATATGATACACTGGCTTGGATCAAAAAACCCGCCGCAAACGCCGACAAAAATGATTTGATGGATTGGGTTTGGTAGATTAGATCGGATGGGATAAAATGGGTTTGATAAAACAAGATGTGTTGAATGGGAAAAAAGGGAATTGATAAAATAAGATGGACTGGATTGGCCCGCCGCAGGCGCAGAAACAAATAAATTGATGGATTGGGTTGGGTGGATTGGATTGGGCGGGATGAAAAAAAAAGGTGGGACAATATGGTTTGGATAAGGTAGAATGGGATTGGATTGGACAAGATAAGCTGACTTTGATAAAGAAAGCCCGCCGCAGGCGCCAGAGCAAAAAAAAAAGAAAGAAATTCGCGACATGCGTTAGCGCCGGGACGCCCGGGACACCCGGGACACCCAGGACACCGCCCGGCCCAACTGGGACACCTCCCAGCCACTGGCGGAAGGGAAACGGACTTTCGTTCCTACTGACACCCGGGACACCCGGGACACCGCCCTGCCCATCCGGGACACCTCCCAACCGCCGGCGGACGGGAACGGACTTTCGTTCCTACTTCGGCCTACAGAAGGATCACGCGCAGCTTCGCCTCGCCCGCACGCGCGACACGAACACGAAACCGAAACCGATTTCCCGGTGGGAGGTCTCCGTGTCATTGCGATCTCACCCCCCCCCAGCCTCCGATGCTACAGGCAAGAAGGTGGGCCCGCCTGCGGGGGGCTGAAGGAGCAGGAAAGGGGACAGGGAGGGAGGAGGGGATAGGGGGCGCAGGGAAAAGGGGGAGGAGTGGCATCCAGAAAAGGAGAAAGGAGGCGAGTGGGGGGATAACAAAAAACTTACCCATACGACCGCCCTGCGGGCGATAAGGAGGTTGGGGGGGGATTGAGATCAAATGCCCACCCTGACTGACCTGCAGTCTGCCGCGATCGCGCTTAGGCGCCGACAACAATGAATTGCTGGATTGGGTTGGGTGGGCTAGATTGGATTGGATAGGATGGATTGGATTTGATAAAGTGGGTTGGACTGGAATGCGTGTATTTGATAAGATCAGATGGATTGGATTGGCCCGCCGCAGGCGCATAAAAACATGAACGGATGGATTGGGTTGGATAGATTGGTTTGGGTGGATAGGATAGTATGGGACAGTATGGGTTGGATAAAATCAGATGGAGTGGATTGTACAATATGGATTGAATAAAAAACTGCGTTGAGTAAGAAAACCCGCTGGAGGCTCCGACAAAAATAATTTGATGGATTGGGTTGGGTGGATTGGATTTGATGGGATAAAATGGGTGGGATAAGATATGATAGGTTGGATTGGAAGAGATGGGTTGAATAAGATAAGATGGATTGGATTGGCCCGCCGCAAGCGCAGAAAAACATGGATTGATGGATTGGGTTGAGTGGATTGGATTGGGTGGGATAAAGTAAGATGGGACAACATGGGTTGGATCAGATAATACGGGTTGGATTGGACACGCTCGATAAAATAATGATTTGAAACGATTGATGAGGTAGAATTGATTGGGTTTGACAAGATGAAATGGATAAGATAAGCTGGATTGGATAAGAAAGCCCGCCGCAGGCGCCCCCAAAAAATGAATTATGAAATCCGCGACATGCATTAGCGCCGGGACGCCCGGGACACCCGGGACACCGGGGACACCGCCCGGCCCAACTGGGACACCTCCTGGCCACCGGCGGACCGGAAACGGACTTTCGCTACTACTGACACCTGGGACACCGCCCAGCCCAACTGGGACACCTCCCGGCCACTGCCGGACGGGAAATGGACTTTCGCTCCTACTTCGGCCTATAGCTACAGGAGGATCACGCGCAGCTTCGCTTCGCCCCCACGCACGACACTAACACGTAACCGAAACCGATTTCCCGGTGGGGGGGTTCTTTTCACTGCGATCTAACCCACGACCTCCGCTAGACAGAAAAATGGATCTGTGTATATACACATATAGTTATTTAAATGGATATGCAGGTATGTATTTATGTATACACGTATATATATATACATGTAGAACGACACAGATATGCATAATATGAACATGCCTATACGACAGTCCTGCGGGCGATAAGGAGGTTGTGGGGGGTGAGATCAAATGCCCACCCTGACTGACCTCCAGCCTGTCACAGTGATCTCATATCTCTCTTTCTCTGTGTCTTTCTCTCTCTCTCTCTGTCTCTCTCTCTCCCTCTCGACCTCTCTCTCCCTCTCTATCAGAGTCTCCCTCCACCACAGTGATGATCGCGATGACGATAAGATCGCAGGCGCCGACAGAATGACTTGATGGATTGGTTTTGGTGGATTGGATTGGATGGGATACGATGGCTTGGATCAGATAAGATGGGTTGGAGTGGAAGAATTGTATTGGAGAATATATGATGGGTTTGATTGGCAGGGATGGATTGGATAAGATAAGATGGATTGGATTGGCCCGCCGCAAGCGCAGAAACAAATGAATTGATGGATTGTTGGGTGGATTGGATTGGGTGAGATAAGATAAGATGGGACAAGATGGGTTGGATAAGATAAGACGGACTGTATTAATTAAACAAGATGGATTGGACACGATAAGCTGGATTGAATAAGAAAGCTCGCCGCAGGCGCCGAACAAAATGAATTATGAAATCCGCGACATGCGTTAGCACACCGCCTTGCCCAATTGGGACACCTCCCAGCCACCAGCGGACGGGAAACGGACTTTCGCTCCTACTGACACCCGGGGACACCCGGGACACCGCCTAGCCCAACTGGGACACCTCCCAGCCACCGGCGGACGGGAACGGACTTTCGCTCCTTCTTCGGCCTAGCTACAGGAGGATCACGCGCAGCTTCGCCTCGCCCGCGCGCACGACACTAACACGTAACCGAAACCGATTTCCCGGTGGGGGGTCTCCGATTCACTGCGATCTCACCCCCCAACCTCCGATACCTATACGACCACCCTTCGGGTGATAAAGAGGTTGTGGGGGGGGAGAGGGGGGCAACCAACATCTGACTCAATAGATGACACGAATTATCGATCTCACTCAACGGGACACCACGAGCCACCACGGGACACTTGTCGATCTCACGATCGATCTCACCCAACGGGACACCACGGGCCACCACGGGGCACCATAGGACACCACATCGATTTCACGATCGATCTCACTATCGATATCACTCAACGGGACACCACGGGACACATGTCGATCCCCCTATCGATCTCACTATTTGCGACACCACGGGACACCTCGGGGCACCACATCGATCTCACTATCGATCTTAGTATCGATCTCACTATCGATCTCACTCAACGGGACACCGCGGGACACCACGGGACACCTGTCGATCTCCCTATCGATCTCACCATCAATCTCACTCAACGGGACACCACGGGACTCGGGGCACCACATCGATCCCAGTACTGTACCGATCTCAGCATCGATCTTAGTATCGATCTCACTCTCGATCACACTCAACGGGACACCACGGAGCACCACGGGACACCGCGGGACACCGCGAGCCACCACCGGACGGACGGACGGACGGGCTGGCGGAGGATTATCATTTGTCTTGACTTCGCCCTAGCAGCGGCGGACACCACGGGACACCGCGGGACACCGCTAGGGCCACCGCCGGACGGACGGACGGACGGGGGAGAATCATCTATCTTGGCTCCGCCCTAGCAACGGCGGACACCACGGGACACCACGGGACGCCGCGGGACACTGCTAGGGCCACCGCCGGACGGACGGACGGACGGACAATAATCATTTGTCTTGACGTTTCCCCAACAACGGCGGTTCATTCCTCTCGCGCGCCCACGTAGCTTCGCCTCGCCCGCACGCACGACACGAACGAAACGAAATGAATTTCCAGTTGGGGGTCTCCGTTCCAATGCGATCTCACCCCTCAACCTCGGATACATACATACACCGACAAAAATGATTTGATGGATTGGGTTGGGTGGATTGGATTGGATGGGATAAGATGGATTGGATAAGATAAGATGGGTTGGATTGGGAGAGATGGATTTGATATGATAAGATAGATTGGATTGGCCCGCCGCAGGCGCAGGAACAAATCAATTGATGGATTGGGTTGGATGGTTTGGATTCGGTGGGATAAGATAAGATGGGACAATGTGGGTTAGATAAGATAAGATGGGTTGAATTGGACAAAATGGATTGGATTGGACAAAATGGATTGGACAAAATGGATTGGACAAAATGGATTGGATAAGCCCGCTACAGCCGCCGACAAACATGAATTGATGCGTTGGGTTGGGTGAATTGGATTGGATGGGATGAAATGGATTGGAATGTATTGTATGAGGTAAGATGGATTGGATTGGCACGCCGCAGGCGCAGAAACAAATGAATTGATGGATTGCCTTGGGTGGGTTGGATTG